TTCTCCTCTAAGTCGGGCTATGCAGTAAACATTGGTTAAACTGCCAGTTAAATCTAAAAGCCCAGAAAGTCAGGCTAGAGACCCAACTCGCTGCCTCACTTCTCCTCTTTTCTCTTCCAGAAGGGAAGTAACTACTGTTCTGCAGAACTCTCCACTGTGATGTACGGTTTGATCCCCAGACCTTATGTAAGGGACGACTGACCTTTTCTGTAATAATGCCTGGCCACAGTATAGGGCCCCAAACAACAACAACAAAAAAGGTTAAACTATAAAATAATGTGACAACTAGATCAATTTTTCAGTGTGAAAAGTTACACTGACGACCTCAAAGTATGCAAGCAGGTCACCACAGTTGATCTTACCTAAAGGGTCATAGTTCTCCTCATGGGCGTGGTCTTAACTCACAGGAAAATACTGTCAGAATTTGCCCATGACCATAGTTTTTCTAGCTCACCCTGATATTTAAAAAAATCTCCAAAAATCAGGATTGGGTTGAGCACCCCCTTGACTGACATCATAGAGGCTGCCTCCTTGGTCTACTTTATTAGAGACCAGGAAAACGAGGAGCAAGCTAGCAGCAGAGGATAGGCAACAGACCAATCAATGGCTGCTTTACACGGTGATTGCTATCAAGGAGACCCAGCAAGGCCAGTGCACCCCAAACGGCCCCTGTTGCTGATATAAGGAGCCAGGGCATTGGGCAAGCAGCTGTCGTGACAGCAAATGCCTTCTGTCAGCTCTGCCAAGAGCATGGCCACTGGACACGGAACTGCCCTGGGTGTCGAAGGACTCCTGGTTCAGAAACGCTGACCCTGTGGCCCCGAGCTAAAAAGCCTTTGGTTCTGCCCAGCCTCTGCCCAGCTTCCAGCTCCAGCCACTGCTATTGAGGGGATGGCCTAGGGTCAGTGAAATGCAAGTTGCCTATTTCTATCAGCCTCCTATTCAGCTCTCCTCCTAGTCCAGCCATGTAATGCAAGTCAACAGGGTGCCTCCCTTAAAGGATATTTGCATCTCTTTCAATTCTCTTCCAGCACCCCATGGATAGGTCTGGGCCTCACACACCCAGCCAGGCCTTAAAAGTCTATCCAATAACATTAAGCTTAGAAAGCCCTCCCTGCCAGTTCCTAAAAACAGGGCTTTCGGTAACAGCTAACTCAGATAGCCCTACACCGATTTGGACAGGTCCTCACTGAGGACTTAAAGGGCCTATCTCTTGAGGGGGGGTGCACAATAATCCATAATATAAATGGTTAAATGTAAATAATTCATTAATCTGTCCTTTTCCCAGCCTGAGACTCTAGTCTTGTACATTGGCTTAACTTCCTAGCAAAACTGGCTACTAAATATCAAAAAAAAAAAATTATCTCTGGGTCAATCAGACTAGACAGGCACAAACCCAAATTTGTACTTTTCCTGGAAAAAGCCAAACAGCTCCAGGACCAGGCCAAGCAGGACTGGGATTTCTGGCCTGACATCTGGTCATGGAAATCCTGGCTATTTCCTCTCCTTGGCCCACTAACTTCTGCAATCTTGATGCTTCTCCTTGCACTGTGTGTTTTTAATGCCCTTGTTCATTTTGTCTCTAACAGACTAAAAGCTGTTAAACTCCAAATGGTCATCAGGCAAGGCTTCCAGCCCATTCCACTGGACAACCTGAGCAGCCCTCTGGACTGAGCAACACAGTCTTTCCACACCATAAGACAGGTAGCAAGAGGAAATACCCAAATCCCCCTCGACGCCCACATGCCAGCTTCGAAGAAGTTACAGAAAACGGAACTCCATCCATAATCCCAAAGAAGAATTTTGGGTATTACCTCTTGAGGGGAAAATATTAGGCAGAAAGTCAGTTATGAGCTTATGTGTGTGTGACATAAAGGCCTAATGTGTCCAGCATATGCATCTACATCTCAGTCATCCTGACAATGTTTCACGGGCAGCCTGGCCTTCACATCCTGCCCTGCCCCCTTCTACCTGATAACCTGCCAGGTGGAGATCCCCGCCCCTTCTGCCTGACAAATCTTCCACAATCTCCCAGATGTAGCCCAGTATCTGCATTTCAGTATTACAGAACAGGCAGGGGTTGAATCTCATTTTCATGGGGGTGGGTTATATACAGCCCTAAAAAAAAAAAACACACTAGCAATACATTTCAAAAAGCTGTGAAATATTATAAGTGGCTGTCAAAGAGCTAAAAATCTGACAATGACTCACTATGTCATTTATTTAGTACATAATGCTGAGAAAATCAGAAGTATTTGTTAAAACTTCTGCTAAAATGCACTAGATTTATAATTTTTTAATTCATCTTTCCTATATGTAATGCAGTCCTGTGCTACTTTAGAGTATCAGAAATTTAAAATGTTGGACTGGTGCTGTGGTGGAGCAGGTTAACTCCCTGGTCTGAAGCGCCAGCATCCCATATGGGGGCCGGTTCAATACTCAGCTGCTCCACTTCTGATCCTGCTCTCTGCTATGGCCTGGCAAAGTAGTAGAAGATGGCTCAAGTCCTTGGGCCCCTGCACCCATCTGGGAGACCTGGAACTAGCCCCTGGCTCCAGGCTTCAGATCAGCACAGCTCTGGCAGTCCCAATCAATTAGGGAGTGAACATCAGATGGAAGACCTCTCTCTCTCTGGCTCTCCTCTCTGTAACTCAACTTGTAAATAAATAAATAAATAAATAAATAAATCTTTAAAAAATTAAGAAATTTAAAATGTGAAAGGTTTTTTAAAAATGTATTTATTCACTGTGAGGCAGAGTTACAGATATAGAGAGGAAGAGAAAGAGAGGTCTTCTATCCACTGGTTCAACCCTAAATGGCCAGAATGGCTGGAGCTGGGCTGATCTGAAGCCAGGTGCCAAAAGCCAGGAGTCAGCAGCTTCCTCCCACTCTCTCACATGGGTGCAAGCACTCAGGGCATATTCCACTGCTTTCCTAGGCCATTAGCAAAGAGCTGGATTGGAAGTGCAGGAGCAGGGACTCAACATGGTGCCCATGTGGGATGCTGGTGCTGCAGGTGGATGCCTAATCTACTATGCCACAGAGTGGGCCCAGGGAAAGGTTTTAGGAAGACATCTTTCATGTAGACTAGGCTGCAATATTGCAAGGTAAGGTTTAGCTTTTATTCCCACACATCAGTATTAATTTTTTAGCAACTATAAATACTGAATATCATACATATAGACATAAATATAGGTAACTGCAGATTTTGTTGTCATTCTTTCTAATTCTCTTTTTAATGTCTGCTAATAGGCCATCTTATGGATTATTATATTGATGTTACCTGTACACAACCATCAGGCATTTCCACTGTTGAATGTGTTTATGTGTACAGGTAGTTTTGTTTGTGTGTACATCAATGCACATTTGATGGAGATAGCACTGACAGTAATACTGTGAGAAATCCTAACACTGATTTCACTTTCTGTCCTCCGCAGAGATGGCTGTCATTGAAGTAGACCGCAAGGCCCCTTTTGCTGTTGTGGACTGAAATGTGCCTCCCTAAAACTCAAACACTGAAGTGCTAACCACCAACATGACTCTACCTGAAGAAAGTGCTTTTAAGCAGATCAAATGATAGATGTGTCTGTCACATCGGAGAAAGGCTTCTGGAAAAATTGAGCCTATTAGGACCTTGATCTGATATTTTCAACCTCTACAACTCTGAGAAGTAAAATTTCATTATTTAAATCATATTCTCTGTGGTATTTTCTTAGCAAATTAATATATCCTCATGTCTGCCAGCATTTTCTGCTGTCATCTAGAAGGTCCTCAGGATTAGCAGAGAAATATAGAAACTAAAAACTATGATTTTAGATTGCCTAGTATCTACTAACACAAAAAAGATATCCCAGAAGCCACCTACTACCATCCTCCAGGACCCAGAAAACAACAGGAATGAGTCAAGTTGCAGGGCAGTAGAAAAAAGTGAATAATGAAAGATCACAGCAGAAGTAAATAAGGAAGGGTTTGGTGCTGTGGTGTAGTGGGTTAAAGCCTTCACCTGCTGTGCATGCATCCCATATGTTGCTGCTAGGAGACCAGGTGTTCCACTTCCAATCCAGCTCCCTACTAATGTGCCTGGGAAATCAGTGGAAGATGGACCATGTTCTAGGGTGCTGGCACCCCTATGAGAGACTTGGAAGAAGCATCTGGCCTTTCAAATAAATAAATAAATCTTAAAAAAACAGAAGCAGTGTGAGTACTGTTGGAAAAACAGACACATAGTTCAATGGAAAAGAATAGGCAGCTGAAATAAACTGACTTTTCTACAGGCAACTCCTATTTAACAAAGGAAAGAAAACAAACAGGAAAAAGAAGAATCCCTTTAGCAAATGGTTTAAAGGAAAGTGATTATCCATATGTAGAAGCCTGAAAAGATACCCCAACACCTCATACACTATGTAAAAGCAACTCAAGGTGAATTAAAAGTCTAAATATAAAACCAAAAACTAAGTAAACATATGAGAAACTATAAAACATTAGCATAGACAACAGTTTGCGTAAGATTCCAAAAGCACAAGTAACAAAAATAAAATATACAAATTTGAGCATATAAAATTAAGATACATCTTCACAACAAAGTAATCAACAGAGTGAAGATACAATGGACAGAATGGCAGGAAACATTGAAAACTCTGACTATGACAAAAGATTGATAGCCAGAACATACATATATAGAACTGGAAAATCTCCAAACAAGAAGCAAAATGTACAGTTAAGAAGTGGGCAATGATCAGAATAGATGTTTCTGAGAAGAAGAAATCTCAATGGTCAAGACATAGATGAACATGCCCAATATCACTAGCCATTAGGGAAATGTAAATCAAAACCAATAGCAGACTCCATCTGTGGGAGAAGACAATGCTTGGGTTTTCATTTGTGCAACAAGTGGGTTTAGAGGACCCTGTTCACCATTAGAGGGCAGAGCCTACATGGAAGTAAGGAAACCTTAATGTTTTCCTAATGGGCTTGTTAAATTCTTGACCAGTGCCAATTACCTTTGCCACAAACTTTCCAGTCTCACTACTTTCCTTCTTCCTCTTCTCTGTGGCTTGCAAAAACAGTATACCTTCTATATACTGAGGATACTTTTGTTTTGTTTTATTCCTTCTGTCTCATGATGTTCCTCTAAGAAATCACAACCCTCCAAGTATTCATTCATTTATGCAGTCTTCAGTTTTCATGGGCTACTACATGGCAAAGTACTAGGTTAAAGCAAAGGTATAGGTCAGGAACTGAGCAAAGTTCACAATGATGAAGCCATTGGGGAAGTGAACCTGATGGAAGACCTCTCTCTCTCTCTCTCTCTCTCTCTCTCTCTCTCTCCCTCTCTCCCTCTCCTTCTCTCTCTGTGTAACTCTGATTTTCAAATAAATAAATAAATCTTTAAAAACTAACTAACTAAATATACTAATAACCTGGTGGCAACACCGTTCTATCAGAACATGTGAAGCACTCAAACACAGTTTGTTCCAGAAAGTCAGCCATAGGTTTCAAGGGCACATCTTCTACTCCACTTGTGAACATCTCTGTGGGGGGTAAGGGGCACTTATTTCTTCCCCTCTTCTTTCTTACCACTCTCACAGTTATAACTTCTTGATGCTTCCACAGACCAGTCTCTATGAAACTGTAGAACTAATATCCTCCCATGTCAAAAATGTCATGGGTTTAAACACAGAACCCAAAATAAGACAAGTAACTGGCCTTCTTAATTACACAGTGTGGAATGTAAGATTCTCAGTGGATCACTGGGTAACTGCAAAATACTGGGCAGAGAAAAACTGTAACTTATCTGTATTTATGATGCTGTAATTCTCCACTTTATGCAAACTCAGATTAAAAGAGCTCCAAGTAGTGGGCAGCACTGCTGCATAGTGGGTAAAGCTACTGCCTGCAGTGTCAGCATGCTATATGGGTGCCGGTTGGGAACCTGGCTGCTGCACTTCCCATCCAGCTCTCTGCTGTGGCCTGGGAAAACAGTAGAAGATGGCCCAAATCCCTCATCTCCCGCACCCACCTATGAGACCTGGACAAAGCTCCTGGCTTCTGGTTTTGGATCGAAACAGCTCTGGCCATCTGTCTTTGCTTCTGCCACTCTGTAACTCTGCCTTTCAAATAAATAAATCAATAATTATTTTTTAAAACAGCTTCATCTCAGAAGAAGCTCCTGGCTACTGGCTTCAGACTGGCACAGCTCCAGCTGTTGCTGCCAATTGGGCAGTGAACCATCGGATGGAAGATGACTTTCTCTCTCTCTCTCTCTCTCTCTCTCTCTCTCCCTCTCCCTCTCCCTCTCCCTCTCCCTCTCCCTCTCTCTCCTCTCTCTGTGTAACTCTTTCGAATGAATAAATAAATCTTTAAAAAAAGTAGCTTCAGTTATTGACAACACAGTAGACTTGCATTAATTTTAGTTCCCTTCTCACTTTGCAAAGGGATCAGTGGCAGGTCAAAACAGTTGACAGCCTTGCTAACAGGAGAAGAAATAGCTGAAGACAGAATATGAAAAGCAGCCAAATACATCATCAAAGAAAGAGAAGTGGACCCCATCCAACACAAACCTTTAAAAGTGGATGCTCACAATTAATGAGTGAAACAGCTGCCCACTGAAATCTTGTCTGGGGGGGGAAGATGTCCTAAGTTCTGCTTCTGTAAACTCCAGTCATAAATCTGCCCTAATAAATCTGTCCCTGGCATCTCTTTTACAAACATACTGGACCCACTAACCATTGGAAATGTGGTCCTAAGTCATGTAGGCTGCCATTTAAACCCACCAATGCTGTAACAGCTAAGAAACTTGAATTTGATGCTCAATTCTCAGGAAATCATTCCAGCTGAGCCTAGGGCCATTAATAGAAACTCCTTGGATCCTCCACTGGCTCTGTGCCTGTTTGAAAGAAGGGAGTTTTCCCACCCCAGGTTTCTGGAACAGCTTCAAATTCCACATTGGAAAAGTCTGATAATTAATACTTGAGAGGGATCAATGCACAAAGCAGCTATTCACGCTTCACACTGCTCCCCACCAGGAAGATGAGGTGCAGGATGAGAGCAGTGGGGCAGATCCTAGTCAGATCCTCCTTCCCACCCCTCTGCTGCCCAGGCTCCCTGCTGAAGGGATCCAGCCCCACCCTGCAGGAACCAGCCCAGAAAACATCAAGAGGCCCTGCCAGACTGCATTCTGAGACCACCCACAGTGGGAACCCGGCTTATTTAACCGTGGAGAGTGGGAGTCTTCCCGCCTTTTTCCCTGCGTGTGCAGGTTCGCAGAATGCTGCCCTCTCTCTCCTGTAACCACTAAATAAAGCACATTAGGGACAGTTTGGGTAAGGTTCTGCAGGAGAGAGTCTGGGCGCTGGGAGCCTGGGAAGCAGAGGTGAGAGACAGAACAGCCCGGGTCCCAGCCCTGACCTCGGGGAAGCTGCCATGATCGCTGGTGCCCTGGCGCTCACCCTTCTCCCACACACATCCCCGCCCCTTCCTGCACACCAAACCTGCAGCAGAAAGTCCCTGGAGCAGGTACCCTTTCTTCCTGGACACACAGGGAGTGAAGCAGGGAGTGCGGTTAAGTCCCTGGTACGTGGGATCCACAGGTGGAGGATGAAGAGGGAAGAAGCAGCAGGAGGCAGGCTCAGGGTGAGCACTTGGAAACTGCCTGGGATCGCACCTGCAGAGAAGGAGATGCAGTAAATGCCAGAGAAGGAGCAGCACAGCCCCCAGGGCTGACCCTGATCAGGGAATGAACTCCTTCTGGTCCAACTCAGAGCCCCAGGGACTGGTAGTAGCACGTGCATGCACACAGGCATTTGGAAGGCAGAATAGGTCAGAGCTCCTCGGGACTCTGGGAAATGGAGTCCAGGCCGCAGCATCCCTGGAGACACCAGCTAGCCCCACCAAAGGCTGCAGTCGGGGGTGGGTGCCCACAACCAGAGGGCATTTGCTTTTGTTCAGTCCCTCCTTCCTTTCCTTCCCACCCCAAAATCTCAGGGATCAGTTGTTCTTCCTTTCCTGAATCAAATCTGAAAGAGTGACACTCACTGCTGCTAACTGACCCCAAATCCTGGCTCCCTCATAACCTCTGTCTCTTCCAGAAAAATCTTATTTACTACTTTGGCCCTAGAAATCATAAAGGACTATGATAGAATGTAACTTAACAGAGGTGTAGAAGGCATGGTTTAATATCCAGTTTTGAGAATACAATTTTCATTTGTGTTTTATTGATGTTTATAGTTCTTTTAAGATTTATTTATTTATTTGGAAGTCAGAGTTACAGAGAAGGAGAGGCAGAGAGAGAGAGAGAGAGAGGTTTTGCATCTGCTGGTTCACTCCCCAATTTGCAGCAGCACCACAGTGCCGACCCCTTATAGTTCTTATCCAATCATTTTACACTGTCTTTTTATTCATCTAGTACAGAGACAGAAGAATGGACACAGAGTTAACATAGCTGAGTATTCAAGGAGACAGGTTATGGGGTTAAATGCCTTATATCATATCATTTATACCTTAGATTAATTCTGGGGACAGTATTATCTGGAGTTTACAAAGTAGAAACTGAATGGAAAGAGCTTAGAAAAACATGGTGTTTTTTAATATCATTAAAAAGTCTAAGTTAAAGGCCAATCAAGGGGCCAGCACTGTGGCATAGCAGGTAAAGCTACTGCCAGCATTGACATTCCATATGGGTGGAGGTTGAGTCCCGGCTACTCTCCAACTCTCTGCTATGGCCAGGGAAAGTGGTGGAAGATGGCCCAAGTCCTTGGGCAGCTGCACCTGTGTGGGAGACCCAGAAGAAGTTCCTGGCTGCTGGCATCAGATCAGTAGAGCTCCAGCCATTATGACCAATTGGTGAGTGAACCAAAAGTTGGAAGATCTCTCTCTCTCTCTCTCTCTCTCTCTCTCTCTCTGTCCCCTTCTACTCTGTGTAATTCTGACTTTCAAATAAATAAATAAATCTTTTTTAGAGAGCCAATCAACATACAACACTAGCTTAAAAATCTTTCTTTTGTCTTGGGTCTCAGTTTTTAAAATCTGATTTCTCAAAGGGAAAAATGTGAGAGAGATGAAGAGTACCTACAAAAATAATTTACTGCAGTTATTTACTGTAATAATTCACTGTAATGATGTGCTGTAATTTACTGTAATAATTTACTGTAAAGAACCACATAGGATTATAACTTGTCTAGAAAACAAAGGAGATTCAAAATTGCTATTATTTCATGGTTATTTTTTCTTATTTTGAATATCAGGATAGTATATAAATATTATGCACTCCTAGGTATTTGTGTGTTGTTTGATATGTTTTATTTTTTAAGCAGAAATTCAAAGAGATAACTGGGTAACATGGAGTTCTGTGTTTCTGATTACTTCTCTCAATTAGAGATCATGGGATTAGAGTTGGTGCTAGATTAAGAATGCTTCCATCTTTATCCACTGACTTCACACCAGCATTTACTATGTTGAACAATATTCTTTGGGTAGATTGCTCTTTCTTGTCAGACTGTAAACTTCATGGGGTCTAGAAACATATTTGCTTTGACATTAAAACTCAGCATCTTGACAGTCTTTTAGTTGAATAAATACATGATATACAAAATAAATATTTCTTCCCCTCAAGAACTGCCTAATAGAGAAGAAAATAGAAATCAATTTGATGACTCTCAGTATTAGGTGAATATATAATTTGTTGTTCTGACATAAGCTTGGTCATAAAAAGGGCATATGAATAATTACACAGAGTTGAAGTGTATGAACACCTAGGGCCAAGCGGGTTAAATGTTCAGCCTAGCTATGTAAGGCATTCCATGTCAATAGGAGAGGAAGGAGGAAGAGGGGAGGGAGTGTAGGTGGGAAGGTGGTTACGGTGGGAAGAATCACCATGCTCATTAATTAGCAGCAAAGAGAGAATCTGTGATCATTTGTTGCTTAAGAAAGGGTGATAGGCATTATTTAATTATAATGCAGGCATCAGTGTTTTCCTGTTTCTGAAATAGGAAGTCTATAACTCAGAATTCCTTGCTGTTTCATCAAAAACAATTCAAAACAAAAACCTAATTAAGCATAAGAGGAAGTTATGCATTAGAAGTCTATTCTAATCTCTAGGAGGTTCAGGGGTTGGAAAATTCATCCAACATCTTGCTGCAAAATGTCCCATACATTTTCCATGACCACTACCCGTAAGCATAAGCTCTTTTAAAAAAAAGATTTATTTACTTGAAAGTCAGAGTTACACAGAGAGAGGAGAAGCACAGAGAGAGAGAGAGAGAGGAAGAGAGAGAATCTTCCATCTGCTGGTTTACTCCCCAATTGGATGCAATGGCCAGAGCTGACCTGATCCAAAGCCAGGAGCTAGGAGCTTCTTCCAGGTCTCCCATGTGGGTTCAGGGGTCCAAGGACGAGGACCATCTTCTACTGCTTTCTCAGGCCATAGCACAGCTGGATCAGAAGGGGAGCAGCCGGGACTTGAACTGGTGACCATATGGGATGATGGCACTGCAGGTGGCAGCCTTACCTGCTACACCACAGCACCAGCCCCCATAAGCCCTATCTTCTGCAGAACCAGCACCCCAGACACCAGCCACCACATGGCATCCCATGGCACACTCACCCCTGGCAATGTTCTGCAGCTCCTGCTCCTCTCCACTTTCACGGGAAGAATCTGCAACTCCTTTTTTTCATGCAAGTAATTCTGATTCAGATGATGCCCCTGACACAATTGGCTGGCAAGTGCCATGGCATGTGTCCATGACCTAGCTAAATGCAAAGCTGGAACATTTTAACCTTTTCACTGCCATGGTGAGACACGGTCTCCATCTAATGAAGTAGGGGATTTTTCAGGAAGTCTAGAGAATCAAATATGACAAAATGACATATCTTAACCACAGAGTGTCGTAGTACAGATGATGAGAACCCAAAATATATTTTTCTATCTTTTCTTTTCTGAGTTAAGTGCCTAAAAACAAAGCCAATGAGGGTTAAACAGACCCATTCTTAAAATTCTTTAACATCTTCATTTTCATCCAAATTAATATATTACTTGAAGAAAATAAATTTTACATAAATGAAAATGCAGTACCACAGACAAGAGTACAGAACATAAGCCATCAGTTAGCTTCAAACCATCTGGGTCCATTAATGTGTTCTTCCAGAACCAAAGCTGCAGTACAATAGAACCACAGCCTCTGACATTCCTCCTCCACCCTGATGGATCTTGGGTTTTCCTCCCACCTCCCCTCTCCTGTGAATACATCAGTAGCAGGACAAATGGAATCCAAAGATACGATGATGTTATTTAACATGGAATAAACAGTGTTTTAGTCAGTACAATCCTCAATACTACAATAATAATTCCGAGTTCACTGATTATGAAAGTAAGTATATGAAATCTATTCCTAAGTAATCATAACATCGAGAGCTGAATGTAGACTTTCAGAGTGAAAGAAACAGAGAATTGTGTAGAGATATGTATCTCTATAATACAGATTTACTGCTGTAATTTATAGACAGTACACCATGTTTGTATTTTTCTTTTTTTGCAGTCTGGAATAGTTTATTACATCCAGCTTGTCACTTTGGAAATTTTATGATTAGACACTAATATATAACAAATTTTGAATCCTTACAGATAATATAGAGCACCCCAGGCCCTCCCAAGGCCAGAAAACAGACCAAGAGCTCATAGACTAGCTGCAACTGCAAGAAGCAGATGAAGATATCATCAGAAAGATACATATTCCTGCAGTGTGGCTGCTGAGCAGTTCTGCCCTTATGGATCTCATCTCTGTTTCAGATCATTAAAGAAAGTTACATGCTTTCTGATATTTCTAAAGATTTCACTAATGAGAATCTAAGATATCTTCACTACGCTAAGAGCCTCAGAACAGCCCAAAGACTTGGGCCATCTTCTACTGCTTTCCCAGGCCATAGCAGAGAGCTGGATCAGAAGAGGAGCAGCCAGGACTAGAACCAGAGCCCATATGGGATGCTGGCACTTCAGGCCAGTGCTTTAACCCGCTGTGCCACAGCACTGGCCACAATGTAGTGTTTCTAATAGAAGAGTTGGTTAAGTCACTAACTCCTCTAACATACAAGTTAAGTATTAGTTTTTAAACTCTGATTCATTCATGAGAAAAACAAAAGGCTAATTTTCTCTATTTGCTTCTGGGTATGTAAATTTTCTTCTAAGAAATTAATCATGACTTTTACATCTCAGACCCTATTATGAGTAATAGAGAATATTGTGGGGTCCTATGCTCATTCTATCAAAGGAAAATTTCTCCAATTAAAGAAAACATTATGGGCATCCCATATGGGCACTGGTTTGAGTCCTTCCTGCTCCACTTCTGATCCAGCTCCTTGCTATGGCCTGGGAAAGCAGTAGAAAATGGCCCAAGTGCTTGGGCCCATGCACCTTCATGGGAGACCAGGAAGAAGCACCTGGCTCCGGGCTTTGAATTGGCATAGTGTCAGCTGTAGTGGCCATTTGGGGAATGAACCAGCAGACGGATGACCTTTTTTTCTGTTTCTCTCACTATCTTTATCTCTACCTGTCAAATAAATTAAAAAAAATTGAGTTCACACTGCTGGCTTCAGCCTGACCCAGTTCTGGCTGTTGCAGGCATTTTGGGGAGTAAAGCAGAGAATCAGAGTGCATTTTCATTCTCTCTCCCTCTGACTCTCAATTAAGTAAAAAAAATAATAATAAAGGAACTCAAACAGGACTAAAGGTAATAATATAGGTAAGTGTCCCATTTCTTTCATATGACCAACTACTAGGTACTGAAAGTTTTCATTTTTTCCACTCACCACATCCTTTGCCCATGGCATTTAATTTCCTAGGTTTTAATTTTTCTTTTCCCTAGGTAAAACATGACCACTTGGTGCCAGTGCTGTAGCGTGAGGTAAGACACTGCCTGCACTCAGAATCAGCCCTAAAGGCACTCGGATCTGGCTGAAAAGCCCATGAGAGTATTTCAGGCATGGAAAGCCAAGACACTAAGGCAAAAAGATCTCTGTGAGTGAGATCCCAGTGGAAAGAACAGGTCTTCAAAGAGGGAGGTGCCTTTCTCTGAAGGGAGGAGAGAACCTCCACTTTGACTAGGACCTTGTCTAAACAAGATAAGAGTCGGAGAACTCAAGGGGCTTCCATAGCCTTGGAAACTCATGACTGGTGCATAGGGAGATTACTGATGCCATAAACAGGAGTGTCAATTTGTAAAGTCAACAACAGGAGTCACTGTGCACTTACTCCTCATGTAGGATCTCTGTCCTTAATGTGCTGTACACTGAGGCTTAATGCTATAACGAGTACTCAAACAGTATATTTCACTTTGTGTTTCTATGGGGGTGCAAACGATTGAAATCTTTACTTAATGTACACTAAACTGATCTTCTGTTAAAAAAAAAAAAAAGAAAAGAAACTATCAATTCCCAACTTGACTCCCACTGGGATTAAACATGACAATAGGTCTGATCTGATTTCATCATCATTTAAAAAAAATCATCTATTATTTTTCACTTTATGTTTCTGTGTGGGAACAAACTGTTGAAATCCTTACTTAAGGTATACTAAGCTGATCTTCTGTATACTAAGATAATCGAAAATGAATCTTGATGTGAATGGAAGGGGAGAGGGAGTGGGAAAGGGGAGGGTGGTGGGTGGGAGGGACGGTATGGGGGGGAAAGCCATTGTAACCCATGAGACGTACTTTGGAAATTTATATTCATTAAATAAAAGATAAAAAAAAAATAAAAATAAAAAAAAAAAAAGACACTGCCTGCAATGCCAGTATCCCATATGGGTGCTATCTGAGTCCCAGCAGCTCCCCTTCAAATCCAGCTTCTGCTAATGGTCCCAGAAAAGCAACAGAAGATAACTGGGGCCCTGCCACCCACATGGGACACCCAGATGAAGTTCCTATCTTCAGTCTGGCCCAGCCCAGGCCACTGCAGCCACCTGAGGAGTAAACCAGCAGATAGATAATCTGTCTCTTCCACTCTGCTACATTTTCAAATACATGCATCAATCTTCCTTTAAAAAATAAAAATAAAAACCACTTAAGCTTTCAAAGGTATACAAGAAAGAAGCTTACAGCACTGATAAATTCAGGACCTAAAACATTTTCATGATTGAAAAAAGCAAAGCAAAGAGCAATATACAGAATGATACTGAGTGGGTTTTTAAAAGCATATATTTTGGTCCCTAAATCTCTAAACCATGAACATCATTATTACATAAATATATTTATATATTTTTAAGATTTGTTTTATTTACTTGAGAAAGGTCTTCCATCTGCTGGTTCACTCCCCAAATTACTGAAAACCTGGGGCTGGGCCAGGGCAAAGCCAGGAGTAGGGGCCAGTGCTATGGCACAGCAGATTAACACCCTGGCCTGAAGCACTGGCATCCCATAAGGGCGCTGGTTCAAGACCCGGATGTCCCACTTCTGATCAAGCTTTCAGCTTATGGCCTGGGAAAGCAGTAGGAGATGGCCCAAGTCCTTGGGCCCCTGCACCTAAGTGGGACACCTGGAAGAAGCTCCTGGTTCCTGGCTACAGATCAGTGCAGCTCCAGTCATTGCAACCAGTTGGGGAGTAAATCTTCGGATAGAAGACCTCCCTCTCTCTCTCTCTCTCTCTTTGTGTGTGTGCGTGTGTGTGTGTGTAACTCTTTCAAATAAATAAGCAAATCTTTAAAAAAAAAAAAAAAGCCAGGCATCAGGGAAATTTCATCCAGGTCTCTCGCTTGGGAGCAGGACCCAAGGATTTGTACCATATGCTGCTGCTTTCCCAGGTATGTTAGCAGGGAGCTGGATCAGAAGTAGAACATACAATTGGTGCCCATAGAGGATGCTAGTGCTGCAGGTGTTGGTATAACCCATTTTGCCACAGTGCTGGCCCCATAGCAATTTTTAATTCCTAGTAATTAACAGGGAAGAAAGAAGTATGGCAGGATACATTTTTTAGAAAAATTATTTTATTTATTTGAAAAAGTTATATAGAGAGGTAGAGAGTGAGGTAGAGAGAGAAAGAGAGAGAGAGAGAATCTTCTGTCTGCTGGTTCACGCCCCAAATGGCTACAGTGGACAGAGCTGAGCTGATCTGAAGCCAGGAGCCAGGAGCTTCTTCTGGGTCTCCCACATGAGCGAAAGGGCCCAAGGACTTGGGCCATGCTCTACTGCTTTCCCAGGTGCATTAGCAGGAGGCTGGACTGTAAGTGGAGCAGCCGGGACTCTACCAGCACTCATATGGGATGCCTGTATTTCAGGCCAGGCTTTAAACTGATGTGCCACAGTGCTGGCTCCAACAGGTGACCTTTTACTCTCAATAATCTCTTCTTGGTTTTGGCAGCAGTTTGTAATTTTTTGTTTATTTGCCTTCTTCTTCATCTATATTTTTAAAAAAATTACAAAAAGTTCCAGCACCCTGAGAACCTCCATCACAAGGGCATACAATCAGATGTTTGTCCAGAAAAGGGTGGTGTAGATGCAATGTGGAAAATACAAGGTGAGTTGATTCATCTTTCTCAGGCTGTGGTTTCCATGGGCAACTTTGACAACCAACTGCCTTATTTGTTCCTCTTCCACAGAGTGTAAAACATGTTAAGTCATCCTATTTAGCCAAAAGCCAGTGGCAACACTTCAATATGTCATCAATCCAGGGCCAGCATTGTGGCACAAAGGGGTAAGTTGCCAACTGCAACAGCAGCATGCCTTCACTTCTTATCCAGCTCTTTGCTTGGGAAAGCAGCAAAGATTGCCCAAGAGTTTGGGTTCCTGCACCCACATGGGGGACTGGGACAGAGTTCCAGGGTCCTGGCTTCGGCCTGGCTCAGGCACAGCTATTGTGGCCATTTCGAAGTGAGCCAGCAGATGAAAGATAGAGATCGATCTCTCTCTCTCTCTCTTCCTTTTACCTAAACATACATTATATAAATAAATGAAAATGCATCAATATAGCAACTTTTTGAGGAAAAGTCTTCTGATTATTGTAGGTATTGTCTCAATGCATAAAAATATTCAGACACAAAAATTATAAACTGATTGATATTTATATTTTGCAACCACATACTTTTCAGAAAAAATTGTCTGCCACTCAGCATCAGGTATCAGTCTGAAAGCATTCATTAAAAAAATCAAGTAATTTCACTAAACACAAAAACATCTAGTATAGGCTGCATATAAACCAGTGGCTTCCATGGGTATACACAGATTGATTTTTGTTAATTTACAGGGATCACTGCACTTCCCTGGCATGGAGCTGTCTGAAGAGTTTAAACACTGATGGGTGTGGCATTATTTCTGATATTTGCTTATTATCCAGAGTGCATTTATTAAATATCTATCATGAACGCCACACTCTATAAATCTATTTCAAATATGTTGATATTTAATGGTACTTACACACTTACAAACTGAGTTAATCCTCCTAACTTCTCTCTGGAATAGCTATGCCTTTGACATTGCCTTTTTTCACACATATGGAAATGCATAATATGCTTCTGTATGGTACTTCAGAATTTATAAAAGGCTTTTCAGGTAAGATTTACATAACATCATGTTAAAGTGGCCAAAGGACAGTCTTCTCATTACAGAGGGGAGAGGTATGAAGTGACTCTCTGAACAGTTACTCAGATTCTATCAGTCAGGTTCAGAATCTTATTAGGTATCAGATACACATCTAGATTTTTTCCCTACTGTCTCTTTGTCAGAATTCTCAGCCTATGAGTGAACTTCAGTCTGAATGAATGCTAATATTCAAGGTTCTAAGTGAAAAAATTACTGAGGTTTGTATTGGTGAGTAAAGCATGTGTCTAAATGTTACTTGCATTTAATAATAAGTATTGAATCATATGAAACTGAATATAAGATTATGCAAATTTTTAAGATGAAGAGCATAAATTTAAAACCACATTCTTACATTTTGCAAGCGTGTTGAAACACCTTACTGGAGCATGTGTTTGGCATAGTGGTAAAGCCTTCCACATCCCAGTCAGAATGCCCAGGGCTCAAGCCCTAGCTCTGCTTCTGCTTCTGGCTTCCTGCTAACAGAACCCTGGGAGGCAGCAGCTGATGGTTCAAGTACTTGAGTCCCTGCCACCTGTGTGGGAGACCCACACTGAGTTCCTGGCTTCAGCCTGACCCAGCTCTGGTTGGTGCAGACATTTGAGGAATGAGCAATAAATGGAAGGGCTCTCTCTGCCTTGCAAATAAACAAAAATAAATATACAGACATTTACTTAAGGTGTCTTGCTCACTTTTAAATGATTTCCCTTTTCACAGTAAAATGCCTAACTGTCCTCTTTAGTTACAATGCATGTTTTGCTCTCCATGTCCACTCCTGAGCTCCAAGTACTGGCAGCTCACCCTAGCATGCTGACTGGTTCCAATGTTCAAGTACTCATCTCCCATTCTCTTTTGGTGGGTCTACTGGAAAGAAAGGAGAGTATCTACAGTAATTAATATCTTACTGTTGCTCTTGCTGTCTACCTGCAGGCCTGAAGGATGACCACCTGAATACACACTGTGAAGTTCTGGACGTAGTTTCCAAACTTCAGTCACTTTGCAGCTGAGGGACTCTGTCCTCGTCAATCACCTGAAAGCCTGTAGGAGTAGGGAGAAGCTGTGTTTGAAGAATTCACAAATACAGTGCATTGAAGCCAACCACTACACCCCTAATTCAGGGTTCTGGCAAATCCCAAACCAGGAGTTTGGGACCAGGAGTGGTTCAGGAGGTGACCTCGACTCCTTACTCTGAACAGCCCCAAAGTGCCTGGTGCACCCAGTGGGAGTTCAGCACCTCGACCTCCCACCCTCCTGCCCTTGCCACCAGGGCGCCCGGCTCCCAGAGCCTCCAGGAGGCCTGCAGCAGACCCGCAGGTCCAGGTGCACTGGGATGTGCATCCAGAGCTAACCCAAAATACAGGCCCAACTCAAGTGTCACCTCCCCACAAAGTCACTGTCTCCTACTCCCTCCCGGAAGGCTGTAGGCCAGCACCCAGCACCAGGAGTCACAGCATTTGGGGTTCACCCACTCTCCCATGAAGGAAGATGCCCCTGTGGGAACCCCGCTCCACCTGCGGGCAGGGCTGGGGGAAGAAGAGCCGAGCCAGCCTCCACACTAGGACTCCAGCCTGAGAAAGTCCAGGGCCCCAGCGCCCTTGTCGGGCATGGGGTCTCCCTAAGTGTGCTCTGAGCCAGGGCCTCAGCCATCAGCAGCTCCCTTGCTTCCAGAATCTGCTGCAGGGCAGCTCAGGCTCAGCCCAGCAGGGGGCTTGGGCCAATCCTTGCTGCCCTGGGGCAGGACCAGCGCTGCCAGACCCACCCCATGCCAGGCTGGCTATAAAGGCGGTGGTCATTGGTGGGCAGCTGTTAGTTGTGGTGTGTGCGGGTGACATGGGTGGTGTTAGGTTCTTGGGCATTTAGTACCTTGGGGCTAGAATGCAGGCAGTGGCCCGAGAGTCAGGAGGGGCAGAAGATGAGGCAGACCTGGTGAGTGCAACCGCCCACCTCTCCCGCCAGCCCTGCTGGCTGAGGCTTGCAGCACATGCTGCACTTGGGGAAGCAATGATGGCCAAGTCTCAGCAGGAAAACCAAGTGCGCAGTGCTGATTTGCTCACTGACGCAGCATCTGTGTGGTCTGCATGGGCAGACAGGGGGAAGGGCTTGGTAATAGGGTGCTGGAGGCGCACTGGGCCCTCGTGCAGCTGCCTGCTGTAGGCATCCAGGGCAGCAGAGTCCTGCGGGGTCCCTAGAGATCCTGGCCATGCTGTGCCTTCCATCATCCACCCTCCTGCACTGCTGCTGGGGGCAGTGCTTCTGCCGTTGATATCTCATTGGAGTCCATGGTCATTTTCTCATGATGGGCTGATCTCACACAGTGACAATCATGGAACAAATCACTGTTCTGTGGCATCTGCCTCCCAGGAGCATTGCAGGTGGACAGGGAGACATGGGTGACTGGTGGCACCTCCTGTGTGTGGTCTCTGGCCCATCCAGGACCGAAGGTGGAAAAGGAAGGAGAGGTTCCGGCTCAAGGCAGTCCCGCTGCGGGTTCCATCAGGTGCAAAATGTCTCCTGATTGCGGTTAACCTTGCAGGGAAACTGTCTCTTTTTGTGGGCCAGAGACAGCATCTGCTTTATTAGCTGTGCAGTGTATTGATAATTAAAATTTGGGCAGTCCTATCTTTAGTCCGCACAGTGTAGTTACATTCTGAGGAACTGATGAAACTGCTCAGTACTTCAGGGCTGAGTTTAATATTAGGTGGGTAAGCCTGTTGTTGGCTTTTGGTTTATAGCTATTGGGTGACTTTATTTGGTAAAAATGCATTCAGGCTCAGTAGTGAATGGTCTTTTTTTTTTAAGATTAAGAGTATTGAAGACCGGGTTGAGCTACCTATGGCAAAACTCCACCATTCCTGGGAAGGCCACAATTGGCAAGAAAAGCAGGTAGCAAGCTTTCATCAAGTAAGTTGAGATTCCTGTGTTTGCAATCTGGAGAGCTCACTGAAGAGCTGGGATGGGAACTGCTCTGAGCACAACTCATTAGAGAACTGCTCTTGCAGACGTTCCCTGAAGGAAGCACTGCTGTGGTCAGAAGCATTCCAGGAGCTGCTGGCCAGCAATTGTGAATTAGACTTGAATTGAATCCATTGCAAGTAGCACAAGAGTGCAGAAAGGCTGTGTCCTCAAATGAGCAGCTCACCAAGGAGAATTCGACTTAACCTAGAAGGTCTGTTTATCTCCGTTTATTTCTCAGCATATTCACACCAGGTGGAGAAGATCAATCACCCTTCAGCTCTGCAATGGCAGTGCTCTTGGTTGAAGCTGAGGATGCTTTTCATTGCATGCAGTGTTTGCAAGAGACTTAGTTCCCTGAGGATTTATGTCTCTCCTGTAAATACACTTTTGGCATTAAAACAAACTGAAGTATTTATGTTTTAGTAGTATGGAACCAACTTAAGTATTTTGCCTACTGGCATCTTTGTCGCTAAAGCGCTAAATCTGCAGGATTACAGGATTGAGTAAAAACTAGAGAATAGCTAACCCTAGTACTAGAAAAGCACAAGGGATTATTTGATCATTAGCTTCCTCATATTCCTGATGTTTCTTTTTATTTTTCTACCTTCTCTTCCCTACCTTCAGATGCTCTGGTTGTATTGGAGGCTTTTCTAAAAACTGAATTCTGTGAAGAAAATATAGGCTACTGGCTGGCTTGTGAAAACTTCCAAAAAATCCACCCACCCCAGAAGCTATCCTTATATCCAAGAAAAATATATACACTCTTCTTAGAAAAAGGCCCAAAAGAGGTAAGACACAATTCCTCATTTCAGCATAAAGTGTACACTCTTGACATCAAGAAGCAACAAAAGAAGTAAAGACATAAGACTAAAGCAAGGACGGAGCCAAGATGGCGGAATAGTGAGGGCACGCACCGATAGTCCGGGAAAATTTAGTTTAATAAAAGGGGAGTTATGGTAGCCTCAGAAAAAAGAACCAGGAAAATATTGCAGAGGAAACTCTTCTGGATCGAGTGGCTGTGAATCAGAGGACCTACTGGGAGAACAAGGTCACCCACCGCGTGGAAGCCGAGCCGCGGGAGCCACGGGTGCCGCGGAAGCCGCAGGGTCTGCACGCCAGTGCAGGAAGGGGAGTGCATGTCACACAGACAACAGCGGGGAGAGTTGCGATGTCCAGGGCTCTGAGACCACACATCGGCGCTGGAAGGGGAGGTGAGCTCAATAACCTGAGACATTGGCGGGGAAACGGGGGTCAGAATCTAGAGGGGGGCCAGAAAGTGCAGCAAACTCACTACCGGAAAGAAGGAGGAAAAAAAAGCTTGGGGGTTTCTCTTTCCCCTAACCTTGCAAAGGTTGCAAGGCTGCAAGGCTTGAAGAATTTGCAAGAGACAAAGAGCAGGCCCCCTCTCTGGATTTACATATCAACAGGGGAGAGCTAAGGAACTGAGTCACTACAATTCAGTAGCTTAGGCAACACAGTGGGAGTCCAGAGGAGCCTACACAGACTCTTTGGGTAGAAGCCAGAGATTGGAAACTAAATACCATCAATTCTGCACAGCCCTGCCGTGCGGTGTTACTTACCCCCTGAATAAATAAAATAAATAAATAAATAAATAAAAAGAGAGAGATTTACCACGCATAACCTGAGGGTGTCACCTTTGCACACCCTTAACCAGGGAGAACCAAGCAGAGCTCTCAGGCTGCACCCATCTCGAGCCTCCAAGGCTCCTCCAACAGCAGGCAGTCCACTTAACACAGACATAGTATAAAATAAAAAAAAATTAAAAAAAAAAACGCACAGTGACGAAAGAAGAATTAACTATGCCAAGCAACAAACACAGAAATTGAGGGAACAAGATCCACAATGACATTATGATGCCTTCAAATAAACAAAACACCCCAAACCAAGATTATGAAGATGATGAGATAGAAGAAATGCAAGATACGGATTTCAAAAAATTTATGATAAGAACATTTAGAAGTTTTCAAAAGCAAATCCTTGAACTACAGAAATCCTTATTGGACAGGATTGAAAATCTCTCTTGTGAAAAGGAAATTTTAAGGAAGAACCAAAATGAAACGCAGAAACTAGTAGAACAGGAAAGTGTGATAGTGAAGAGAAATCATAATGAAATGAAGAGCTCAACAGATCAAATGACAAACACATTAGAAAGCCTTAAAAACAGAATGGGTGAAGCAGAAGAGAGAATATCAGACTTAGAAGACAGGAACAGGAAAGGATATAGTCAAACCAAAGAAAAGAAGAGGAAATTAGAAATCTAAAAAATATTATTGCGAATCTACAGGATACTATTAAAAAAAAACCAACATTCGAGTTCTAGGAGTTCCTGAAGGCATGGAGAGGGAGAAAGGATTAGAAGGCCTTTTTAGTGAGATACTAGCAGAGAACTTTCCGGGTCTGGAGAAGGACAGAGACATCCTAGTACAGGAAGCTCATAGAACCCCCAGTAAACATGACCAAAAGAGATCCACACCATGACACGTGGTAATTAAACTTACCACAGTGAAACATAAAGAAAAGATCCTAAAATGTGCAAGAGAGAAACTTCAGATTACTCTCAGAGGATCTCCAATCAGACTCACAGCTGACTTCTCATCAGAAACACTACAGGCTAGGAGGGAATGGCGAGACATAGCACAGGTGCTAAGAGAGAAAAATTGCCAGCCCAGAATATTATATCCTGCCAAGCTCTCATTTGTGAATGAAGGTGAAATAAAGACCTTTCATAGCAAACAGAAATTGAAAGACTTTGTGGCCACTCGACCAGCCCTGCAAAAGATACTTAAAGATGTGCTACACTCAGAAACACAGAAACACAGCCATCAATATGAAAGAAGGGAAAGGAAGAACACCTACCAGTAAAAGAGCATGGGAAGCTCAAAGCATATACTAGAAAATATCTCCGGGAAAATGGCAGGGAAAAGTCACTACGTATCAATAGTCACATTGAACATTAATGATCTGAATTCTTCAGTTAAAAGACACCGTTTCACTGACTGGCTCAAAGAACACAACCCAACTATTTGTTGCCTACAAGAAACACATCTCTCTAACAAAGAGGC